ACTTTGAATATTAATAATCCTCTTTCTTCCAATTACTCAATGTTAATTTAAATGTCATTATGTAATTATCACGTAACGTATCCACTCGATGAGTATTATCTCATTATTGTAAATCATATATATATTAGTGTAGAGCCATGATAAAAAACTAATTGAAAAGAAATTTCTTCGCTCAATTCGTTCCTTCTCCTTTATTTCTATTCCCTTATTTTCTCCCTTTTCTTCTTTGAAGTCAACTCACTATTTTTCTCTGTTACACAGAATCTGGTTTATTATTATTATTCTGTTGTCATTATTATCTTCCTTTTTTCCTCATTTTCAAATAAGCGAATTTCTTGCTTACATTACTGAGACTTGTGTATTATCTCATTTTTGAGGTGAGGTGATATATATGGCTTCGTAAAAGAAACTTAAACAGCTGCAAACGACAAATCTCGATAATATAATGTGGTTTAGAAATTCGAAGCAGAAGACATGTTCTCACCTTCTACGAAACCAGTACATCTACGCGTTTTGTGAAGAAGCTTTACAAATGCATGTCATATATTTGTTTTGGGCATTTTCGAGGTGAGACCAACCTACTCTGTCGTCAACTTGACAAAGAAAATGTTCATCCTAATTTTTGCCATACGTATTTTAATTTTAACTGTAAATACTTCACTGTAAACTTTACATATATATGAATCTTCACTAAAGGCTATATTAGTTTGTGCAGTTGTAGTGGCATTGAACCCCACCCACACGACCCTTGAAGCCGAGCATATAACTACTGAAAAGATTTATGTTCAACAATTGAAACGAATAGAAGGTTAATAGTGGAGAACGCGCGAATATTCATCCCAGTCGGATGGCATGGCTCAGCCTCACAGACGTGACCATTCAGTATAGTTGGTTCTGGCTCACAATGAATATATTATACCATTATAAACTTAAATAAGTTCTTTAGAAACTCAAGATGTCATGTTGTTAATTGTTTAGATGCGATGAGCCAATGTAAACAATGATGTCACTTCTACTTAAGATCTTACGGATTAGGCAGTCGTATCATGACACATCTATAATTTTAAGGTTAGGTCTCTTATCATAGTAATGCTAGTAACGAAGTGGATCATAATCCAGCTGTCTTAAGCTTGACTTGGTCTGCTAAAACATGGTATTTAAGAAAAAGATTCAAATGCTCTTATCATCTGAGACAAGTGAAAAAATAAGATAATGTAATAATTTTCACGACTGTTGAAATCTTTGACGATAGATGGATCAGTTTCTACTGTCATGTGGTTTCAAGACAGTTCTTGGACTGGTTCCATGAAACAACCTATCGTATAGTCATCGAAGCGTACAGTTATGCTTATAATTTTGTGTTCATAATTGTTAGAACGTGCTGGCGCTTTACAGGAGATGACAACAGCACGATAGAGATTTTGGTTATTAAAAGGTGATGTAGCCATGTTGTACAATTAACAACAGACTCAATACAGACTATCTTGTATGTTGCCATTGAGAGAAAAGTTGACAGAACTCACTTATGCTCCATCAGAAAACAGGCATTCTAAAAAAGTGAGGAAGTCGATAGTTAATTTGATAAATCAGTAACGACGCAATTTTAAAGCTTTGGCATAGTTTATACACTCAGTTTCTTTTGAATCAACTGCACCTATACAGTTCTTTGTCCATTCATACCATATTTACACCTTTCTTTGTCCTGCTAGAATGCTCGCGCTTAAAACAAACTTTAATAATAGAAAGTTAGACTAAGTGGTCGTACTTTCACTATTTTACCGCAAATGACACAATTTCAGTGGGCATGAACATTGTCTAATTTACTTCTCGTCCTCTATTTCTCTTGTCCTCTTTTCCAGCTCTCATGATATGCCATTAATAACACATATGGAACATGTGACTTTGCACTGAGCAATCAACAATGCCTGAGATGTTCCATATGAGTATTAGGTTACGGTTTATAATTCTCAAATTTAGATGAATTTATAAGGGACTGAGTTGCACTTCGCAACGCCACCTCCATATAACGCGCCAAATGTCATATTGACAGTACGGATCTTATTAAAATCATTTACATCCATATGTGAGATGTGTTTTCCCCCATATTTTTCCCTCATACCTTATGAAACATCAGACTGAGTAACCCACCACAGTGAAGACTGTATCTTTTGTAACAATTTGATCTTGCCCGTAAACTGGCATGCCTCATATAACAGACTGTTATTTCGGAATAAATTATTATTGTTATTATTATAAACATGTCAAAAAACAGTTAAAAGAAATTGTTTACACATTGAATATTTGCAGTAAGTTAGCTGACTGGGATCGTCATTTTCCAGCCACAGTTATGATGTACTTAACTAGGACACAATAACGTTACTGTCAAGAAGACAAGATGTGATTGAGTTGAATCGTGCGCTAAGTTCTAGATTTGATCCAATGCCGTTATCTGCCACAAGGCGTAGAAGGATTAAGCTGACTGAGCAGTTTACTTCTAAAAGATGGTTTTTTCTGTTACAGCAAGTAGATTTTAAATAATGACGTTAACTCTGATGACGTATACCAAATAAACAAAACACTTGTGTTGATAAAATTAAACAGAGTCTCTAGGATGTAACATACTATAGCCTTCTGAAGAGATGTTAAGCAAATCGCAGCTTCCGGGGTTATGTAGTATAGGAAGATGTCAGCCTGGTTCACGTTTTTGGTATGTCATACTTAGCAAACAACTAGGATAGTGATGGTAGATCCGAAAAGCCAATCTGAATCTTCTGAAGCGTTTCCAATAAACCTAAGACAAGGTAAACTTGATTTGGTGAATAGTTAAGGGGGTATAACGAGGTCACCTCATTACATCTATTGGGTCGTATACTATATACTAGATGCTGGTAAACAGATACAATGCACTCTGGTAGCCCAGTCTTCTGAAGTTCGAGAAGACCGAAAATGAATATGATGACAATAAAGTGTATTATTCAGGGGTCACAAAGTTAATTGGATATAAGACGATTGGCATTGCAATGATTAAACGGTTAGCACCAGGTGGCCCAAGATTATCCAGTGTATTTTTAGGGTGAGCCGGGGTGAGTGCCGAGGTCGTTTTAAGGTCACGGCCTTCATTTCGGGCGTGATTGTTGCCTACGGCTGATGACGTGGGTGAACTTACAGAGGGACTGCATGAAGTTAACCCTATTACGGAAATATCGACCCAAAAAAGACATAAGATAATTAATTCGTAATTAAAATGTTTAGTTCGGGATAAGGGCTTGTTTTTGGTTATGGTTAAGACTTAGGTTTTAGTGTTTGATTGAGCGTTATAACTTAAGGGAAATTTAAAAGCAATTTTTAGTTACTGAACCATAAATCATAGTATTCAGATCTTTATCATAACTCTAAAACTTATACGATGTATTCTAATCGTAATTTCAAATTATTAGGCATAAATACTAAATCTAGTTAACAAACCTGGATCATGATCATCGTAATTCGCCCGACCATATTTGCCGTGTGCGGAATGGCGGACTGTATCGATAACCTTCCAGATCTCTCTAAATATTTTCTGTAACTAGCTCTTGTAGCTCATTTATACAACATGTACAAGTACTACGAGTTCATTAGTAGGCATATGTTCAACGTTTCTGACCTGAATGCATGGCTATTTTAAACCTGCTACCAACAGACTTGACTAAGCTGAGCAGGAATTTCAAGCGTCAGATGAATACAAATTGAAGCAGTCTAGTTACCCCGACTGTGGTAGATCCTAACAAACTTTTTTCATGGAAAAACGAATGATATGGTCATACAAATGTATATTTATCATGATTCGGCTACCTAATCTATAACATCTTGCGTGGAAGCCAAACCATCATCTATACTGCCTCGTCTCACCTGATGACATCAATATGATGTTTAGCGCTTCCGAAGAACACATTCATGCTAGAGACCGTATCGTATATTGGATGTGAATAGGGGTGAGTTACACAAAATGACCACACCTGTAATAGTGAGCCATGACATACCGATCTGTTATTTTCTGTATTCATTATCTCTGACCTTTCCGTGTTAAATGTTGCTGCACAGTGCTAATCATGCCACAGCCTGCAACATTGTAGAGTAGTCAAATCATTTTCCACAAAGATCTTGGAATTTCACACGAAGTATGAATTAGATGTCTCAGTACTGCTTACCGTCAGAATACCGTATTACTTCCTATTTATATCGAGAAACGTTTCGACGTTGGAAATGATCATTTGACGTTTGCACCCTGTTTGATGACAGAAAAAATCCGTATGGCGACTGTAGACTACTAATCTCGGTGATCAGTGTTGATGATGGAGGTTGAATAGATTTGGATGAATACGGTATGACTCCCTAGCTTTCATCAAAGTTACACCACTATGTTTTTACATGATGAAAATCGCTTTTTTGTAGTATCCAGGTACCGTGAGTGCGTTTATGATCGCACAACAAAAATAACGTTATCACAGAATATATTAGTATGAGTAGGTACAAGTAAATGATTGAGACCACTGATGCATGGTCCAGTTCATGGCGTGCAACCAACTGATACGCATTAGTTGTCCCCGACGTTGAAGAAGACCGATGAACTGTTCAACATTCTGAGACTCGACTGTTGGATGATTAGGCTATGGTCCAGAGACATCACTCCGCCCGTACACATGTGCATTTCCTTGCAGTAGCCCAGCATATATTCAGCGAGAAGTATGATACTATCCGCGGATTTCATTTCAAAAGGAGAGTAACTTATATTACGCGTTATTGCAAAACTTAAATAAGTTTAGGAGACATAAACCAACAGTATATTAGTACCCAACTGATTATCCCAAAGTGGAAGTATCACAATTGTTCCCCATTAGTATCTGTCGACAAACTATCACTGCAGAAAAAAAATCATAAATCAATGGACATTCGATTAAGTTGGAGAGGATATAAGGTTACTATAGCACATAAATCCTCCCGAACAATTTCAAACATGCCTTGTACAATTGAATTATTGGCGCTTAAACCCATTTTTGCGTTGTAGTAAATGGTTGGGCGGTATTATTTTGTTATTTGTGGGCCTCATGATGAGGCATTATTTGATTTAGATTATAATTCACCAGGCAAATCAACAGGAGAAAAGGTAGTCTGATTGTTTGCAAACAGCCGCTAAGTGTAGGCAGATGAATGTCTTCATCTAAATCAGTTTATTGCACATGCTGCATTGGATATGGTTGATGATCACCTGTGGTCGAAAGCAGACACATATTTAAAAGTCGTAGACAAATTCAATGAATGGCTGGTTTCTGCCTTCATAACCCCTGGAAGTATCCTTTACAAATACAGTTTTTAAACGTCCGGCGTCGGACGTTTGCACAATTATAGTACTGAATAGCTGTCAGAATATTATTTTATTTAGTCTCTTATGTCACCAAGAAAATCGCAAGGACTAGGGTCCTCGTTCAAGTACCAATTTAAATTTCCACGAATTATGAAGTAATGCACTACTGTTAGTTACCCATATGTATATAAGATGCAGTTTCCCTGGAATTTAGGTGATACTATAATTTATGGACGACTTTTGAAAAACGCTAAAATCACGTTGAAAATGTTCATTTACCCACTGTGACTAAATGAGGGTTATAAAGCAGTGTGAGAAATCAGAATGATGATTTGCTGTTGATTATTAGGGTAAGAAATTAGCTTTAGAGTTTTCATAACAAAATTACATTAGCTACAATGCTGACATAATATTTAGCCAAACTAGTAGATAGATTTCGCGCCACAATCCAAGACCTGTTATCCTATATTCGATTGATCTGTTAATAAATTATGGTCCTGCCGAAACATGTTATCAAAGTAGTAAGAGATTAACAATTGTTTTCCTTTGAATACGTAAGTTTTCTTTAAACTTTTTTTTTAGCAAAACGACTTCAATTTAACATAGTGAATTCAGGGCTGTTAGGGTATTGGTTGTGTTGGACGATTGTATGATACCAACAACGCGTGACCGGCAATAGCACTTTAAAATACGGCATTGTAATCTGCTCTGAACTGACCTATAGCCTTTACGATGGTATTTCGTCTTCCAAAAAATAGTTTTTATCACTAGGCGCATCCGAAAAGTCCCAGATGTTCCTTTTGGGTTAAAGTATTTTCCGAAATCCATGGTTTAATGTTACTTACATCCAGTCTTCTATTTGTTTCCATGTCAGTCAACAGTCTGCGACTCCAACGTATAAAGTAGCTAATTGACTATGCTGAAAGTCATATATATTAGTGACTAGTTTCTTGTAGAACACTCAGTCGACTTCAGGACAGTTTATTTGAGATCTGGGTTCCAGTAAGCCAGAGAATTAGTTCTCTTGAGTGTAGTCAAAATGTTGGAGGTAATCATAGCAAAGATTTTGATCACATGTTCCCTCGCTTCTTTTGTTTATTCCACCTAGTTTCAAGAAATCGACTCAGGGGGGGGGCTGAATACGGGTCCTTGTTCTTGACTTAAGGTCACACTTCGTGTGTGAAAGCTAGTGATATTATATGATTGCTTGGGTCAAAACGGTGTTGAAATATCTGCACCAGTTTTTAAAAACTGAATCCTCTAACCGCTCAGACATTACTCAACCTAGTTTTTGTTGGCTCATCAAATGAGAATACGGTATGTGGAACCATACCTCACGGGTTCAATCACTTATCGGAAATCAGTTTAACGTAGCTAATTGAACTCAGTTCTACCATATTTACCTTGAAAATCATTGAGATATTATTATCAAGTAACCTTATCTTACTCCATAAAGTAGGCTGTTCGCAGGACCTCTACTAGATTTAATCAAAAATAGCAGAAGTAAAGCAGTTGGTAACAATCATTCGGATAGCTGTTGTAGTAATTATGTCTCACTGAAATAAACAGATAACATAATCATTTTCGGCCCAAAGACTACCGTCAAACCATCAATTCTTAATGTTGTATGACTTCGGAGCCACATATTGTCGCATTATTTAGACGTGGCGTATTGTTTCGTTCACATATTTTACAAGTGTCATTTAAACGTTGCAAACCTCAAAGAACAAAGCAGCTTTTTTATCAAACAACTTTTTGTCGTTTCCATAATAGTAAAAAAGACATTTGATTTCACAAAGAAAGCATAAGCTTTGTATTCCAAATTTTCGTCATTTTTTATCAATAAAAATTGATTACCCCAGTTATTTGTCATTTACCGTAACTCAAATTAATGTTCAGGACTTCGATTCATTTTACTTCATGATGAGTCGAATGAGAATCGTATAAAGTACTTTTTTCAAGACACATATGAAGCCTACATCAAGGTGAGAATATAATTGTTTAAACTTTCGATTTTGATTTAGTTGGCACTAAATCCATTTTTTAAACGTGAAAAGCCAATAACCTCATCCAGCTTCTCAAAGCGAGTCCAACGGATTGCAAATAAACATTTTGGTTGATATGATTGATAATTTTTCAGTTCATTCTAAGTACATTTTCGTGAGTTCTTATATGTCTGTAGTTCTAAAATTTCTCGGTTAACTACTTATTTCGTACTGTGTCGAAGTTTTTAGATAATGTATGATGTGTGCAGTACAAAGTATGCGAATAATACACTAATAACAATCTTAGTTGCCTTAATTATGCGCTAAATCACTTTTGTGTTGATTCATCTATTTAGTTTTCATGAAGAGCTTGTAAGTCTAATCGTCAACCTTTGGCTTGATAATTTTGAATATATTGAGTATTAGGTAGATTGTAATAACAGAAATATTGATATATTTGCGAAATATCAGTGAATAGAAGATTGGATTTCTGATGTATCTTGACTTAGTGTATGCCACTTCACAGAATGAATAAATAAATAAACGAGTTAAATTGACACAAGTTCAAATAGTACGAAGGGAGCAAAGCAGAATATCCCTTTTCAAACCAAAATAGGTCTGATCAAGTTAATTTCATGTAGTCTCAATCTGGGTGATTGTGTTGAAGCCACCTGTGTTTACGCTAGTGGGTGTGGGATATGTGGTGTTTGCAATTTAGAAGAAAAGGGTATTTAAGCATGGATCATGTCAATGAGCAGCCCATAATCTCAAATTTTCCTTAGTCAAAATTTGTAAGACAGCAATGATACGAATGTAAGCAGCGCTTACTTGTGCCTATACCGTTTTAACATTATCATAACATAAGACTCCCTTTTGTGAAAGTATCTAAGGATCATAATTTCCTTTAATGAGATCATCATTTTGTGGCGCTCTAATTAGTCTCTTTGTATGTGGTTAAACTTAGTATGACAATGAACAGTGCTCAGTTGTTTAACTCTTCGATTCCAAATTTTGCTGTCGGTACGAACTGTAGACATAAACTAAGTATTACGTGGAAAAAATGTGTATCTGTCCATTGATCGTAATGACTTCAGAACAACAAGCGAAGATTATTATGAGGAGACTGGTGCACCAGATATTCTATATATAATTTCGAAAGAAGACGTTTTTATGATTATTCGTCGTCGTTGCATAAATGGCTTTGCCACAATTCCATGTGCTATCATGGCTAACTTAGCACTGCATATTATGCCTGCTAATAAACTTGTCACCGGCTACCATGGGACTACATCTCCTTACGATGCTCCACCGCCTTGTGGATCAAACGTTTAGGTCGACGGCTCCGGGTGTGATCCTCTAAGGAAATCACCTGCTTCGGTTTGGCCACCCAGGAAGTATCACAGCCCTCACACAAATCAAATTAGATTTGTGTGGCGCACATGTATCTGGTGCCACCTTGTATCAGTATTACTTATTTAGACCAATTACTCCTCGTGAAGGAGCATAGGCTGCTCACCAGCATTCACATCCAACTCCGTCCTGGGCAATCCTTACCAGCTCCTTCCAGTTGTTATTCATCTTTTTCACATCTGCTTCTATTTCCCGACGTAATGTGTTCTTGGCCTTCCTCTTTTCCGCTTCCCTCCAGGATTCCAAGTTAGGGCTTGCCTCGTGATGCAGTTTGACGATTTGCGTAGTGTATGTCCTATCCATTTCCATCGTCTTTTCCTAATTTCTTCATCATCTGGAAGCTGGTTTGTTCTCTCCCAGAGAAGGCTGTTGCTGATGTTGAGTATCCTGCGTAGACAGCTATTTATAAATACTTGTATCTTCTTGATGATGGTTGTTGTAGTTCTCCAAGTTTCAGCTCCGTACAGTAGAACTGACTGCCTTGACGTTTGTATTGATGATTCTGACTTTGATATCAGTTGAAAGTTGTTTTGAGTTCTATATGTTCTTCAATTGTAGGAATGCGGCCCTTTCTGTGCCAATCCTTGCCTTTACGTCTGCATCTGAACCTCCTTGTTCATCGATGATGCTTCCCAGGTATGTGAAGGGTTCTACATCTTCCAGAGTTTTGCCATCAAGAGTGATTGGATTGTTGTTCTCCGTGTTGAATTTGAGGACCTTGGTTTTCTCCTTGTGTATGTGTATGTTGAGGCCTACTGATGTAGGGACTGCTGCTACACTGGCTGTCTTTATCTGCATTTGTTCATGTGTATGCGATAGGAGGGCTAGGTCATCTGCGAAGTCCAAATCGTCTAATCGATTCTGAGCCGTCCATTGTATTCCGTGTCTTCCCTCAGATGTCGAGGTCCAATGGACCACCGGAAGAAAGAGGAAGGGAGAGAGTAGACAGCCCTGTCTGACTCCGGTCCATACTTGGAATGCATCTGTCAGCTGTCCTCCATGCACGACCTTGCACTGTAGTCCGTCATATGAGTTCCGGATGATGTTGACAATCTTCTCAGGAACTCCGCAGTATCGAAGAAGTTTCCATAACGCTCTCCTATCTACACTGTCAAATGCCTTTTCATAATCAATGAAGTTGATGTACAGTGACGAGTTCCACTCAATTGATTGTTCGACGATGATCCGTAGTTTCGCAATTTGGTCTGTGCACGATCGATCCTCACGGAATCCAGCTTTTTGATCTCGAGGTTGGGCGTCTACTACGTCTTTCACCCGGTTCAGCAAAACTCTGTTAAAGACTTTCCCTAGTACTCACAGTGGTGTGATGCCTCTGTAGTTTTCACATTTGCTCAGGTCTCCTTTCTTTGGAATCTTGATGAGGTATCCTTCTTTCCAGTCCATCGGCACTTGTTCCTCCTCCCAAATCTTTTTGAATAGAAAGTGGAGTATGTTTGTAGTTACGTCGATGTCTGCCTTCAGTGCTTCGGCTGGTATGCTGTCAGGTCCTGCTGCTTTCCCGCTCTTGATTTGTCTGATGGCCATTCTGATTTCTTCCGTCAGTGGTGGATTGACATCTATAAGAAGATCTGTGTGTGGTGCTTCGATGTCCGGTGGATTCATTGGAGCCGGCCTATTCAGGAGTTCCTCGAAGTGTTCTACCCATCTGTTCCGCTGTTGATAAATTTCAGTGATCGGCCTGCCTTCCTCGTCTTTGACCGGTCTCTCTGGTTTACTATATTTTCCTGCTAGTTTCTTTGTTGTATCGTAAAGCTGTTTCATATTTCCTTCTCTTGCAGCTTTTTCCTCCGTCGTTGCTAGTTCTTCCACGTACTTCCTATTGTCGACTCTAATGCTCTTCTTCACTTGCTTGTTTTCTTCTATGTATTCAGCTTGTGCTTGGACTTTCTCTGGTCGTGTTCGGCTGTTGTTAATTGCTGTCCTCCTGTTCTTCCTTTCTTTGATCTTGTCCAGTGTTTCTATAGAGATCCACTCCTTATGATGGTACTTCTTTAGACCCAGAACCTTTTGACACGTTGAAGTTAATCCTTCTTTGATACCTTTCCAGTTGTCCTCCATAGTAGTTTCTTCTTCCTTCAATAGATCCTGTAAGGCTTGGAACCTGTTGTTGAGAGCCATCTTGAGTTCATTGAGTTTGTCAGTATCTCGAAGGAAGGCTGTATTGAACCTTTGTAGTGCTGTTTGTCCAGTTTTTCTTTAGCTTTAGTTTCAAATTGGCCACAACTAGATGGTGATCTGAAGCTATATCAGCTCCCCTCCTAGTTCTCACATCTTCCATTGTCCTTCGGAATTTTTATTGATGCAGATATGATCTATCTGGTTCTCTGTAGTGTGGTCCGGTGAGATCCATGTAGCTTTGTGTATACGTTTGTGTGGAAATATTGTGCCTCCTATGACCAATTTGTTGAATGCACACAGATTTGCAAATCTTTCTCCATTTTCGTTTCTTTCACCTAGTCCATGTCGTCCCATGATATCTTCATATCCGGTGTTGTCTATTCCGACTTTGGCATTTAGATCTCCCATCAGAATGATGAGGTCCTTTCTTGGGCACTTCTCTATGATTGACTGCAGCCGCTCGTAGAATTGACCTTTAATGTCGTCGTTGCTATCATTGGTGGGTGCATAACATTGAATAATATTCATTGTGATCCCCTCCTTCTTTGTTTTGAATGATGCTTTGATGATTCTGGATCCGTGAGATTCCCATCCTACAAGTGCATTTCGTGCTACCTTGGACAGCATTAGAGCAACTCCCTGAGTGTGTGGAGCATTTTCCTTTTCGTGACCGGAGTATAGCAGCATCTCCCCCGTATTTAGCCTTTGTTGTCCAGCTTAGGTCCAATGAGTTTCGTTGATTCCCAGTACTGCCAAGTTGTATCTCCCCATTTCCGTTGCTATTTGACTGGTCTTCCCGGTCTCCCACATTGTTCGGACGTTCCATGTACCTATAAAAATTGTTGCTCTGGTTGTTAGAACGGGCATCGGCCTCGTGGCTTTCGAAGGAACTCGGCTTTCACCATGAAGCGTCATAACTCTTCTAAATGAAGACCTTCTAACTTTCAGGGCAGAGTTTAAATGGTTTGAATAATTTTTTTTGGTAAGCGTTTTTTAGCGAGTTAGTTTTCTACGGGATGGGGTCGCTAATACCATGCCCAACCCTCCTCCTTTACCGGGGCTTGGCATCGGCAGTAACTCTAGAAGAGCTACAGGCGGAGTTTTGTACCAGTATATATGTGTTCAAATAAATAAATAAAATAAAATTATAAGGAAGGAAAAATTAATATGAACACCGATTTCTAGGCCAAATAGAGATTTTCTGGAGAAAAGTAAACTTAGCACGGAGAACGAGTAAAATCACAGTTTTGATAGCGAAAATCTGCTTCACTGCGACTGATTTCAAACCATTGCAGTGATTGTCTAAGTCCACTGATCATTTTTGTCTCATCCATTTTAAGTAGGAGACTTGAGTCTCACTCATCTTAGGTGGTTATAGCACTACTGGTATGTGTTAGTGAAGGTAAGTATGATTAGTCACAAATTGTAACAAACAGGCACTCGGCTTACTGACGGCTAAGTTTGTGATTTCCTTCCAACTTATCTATTTCTGCCTCATGCTCTCCAAAAGTGGTTGCTTGTAATTGTATGGAATAAAGTATGGTTTTGTGTTACTCTGGTTCCCTATTTTTGGTTGTGAATCGGGTATTTGATACGAAGTAATCTAGTTAATTTGTAGCGTATCGTTCGAGTATTCAATCTAACGATGATATAAACTTGGTCAACAGTTTTATTATCGTCGTAATATCTCCTGTGATGGAGAAAAGTATTTTAATTCTCCCGTTACAACAAATTGACGTTGGGATTTTTTAAATGAACCTACCCATCACATATTTTTTCATTGTATATGCTCTATCTGTCGAAAGTGGATTCTTTGGAAAAAATGCTAGATCGATTAGGGCTAACTCAAATAAGAATCATTAGTATCCCGGAGAAAACTGGCCTCAATATTGTTAACATCGGGCGAGATTCAAATGTTTCTATATCAGATTCCTATATGTCTAATGATTTAACCATGTCGATTGAAATTCTAAGTCGTTGTGAGAATAATATTTCAAAAGAATC